ACAATATTGTGTTAGTTTCAGGTGTACAACAAAGTGATTCAGTTAACTATCTATACATATCTATACACATACAGATGCATTCATTATTTCTTTTGATTCTTTTCCATTATGGGTTATTACAGGATACTGAATATAGTTCCCTGTGCTATAGTGTAAACCCTGTCGTTTCTCTATTTTATATATAGTGATGTGTTATCTGTTAATCCCATACCCCTTTCCTCTTTGGTAACCAGAAGTTTGTTTTCTATGTCTGTGAGTCTATTTCTGGCTTGTAAAGAAGTTCATTTGTATCAGTTTTTAAGATTCCACATATAAGTGATATCATGATATTTGTCCTTTTCTGACTGACTTCACTTAGTATGAGAATCTCTGGGGTCCATCCATGTGGCTGCAAAGCACTCCACTTTAAAGGAGGTAATATAACAGGAGGACAGAGGAGAAGAGATCTGTGTATCTACACTGACATCAAACAAGGAATAAAACACTTACTAGTTGAGGCATCCTCTTTCTCTGTCTGTGTGCCCCAATTTTTAAATACCTTTTCTTCATCAAGTTCTTTCAAAGCTTTCATGATTGGTGTGTCTGAAGTCTCTCTTTGTGTTTTTATTAATAAACTTGTTGGTGAACTTCCAGGTGAAGGATCCTTTTCCAGAGAACGGTACCTTAAATAATAATTGTAAGACACAAAGTGCTAAGGACTGAATACTTGTGACCCTCCCCCCCCCTCAATTCTTATACTGAAGCTCCAATCCTCAATGTGACAGTGTGTGGAGAGGCAGGGCCCTTTGGAAGCGATTAGGTTTTGATGAGATCATGAGGGTGAAGCCCCCACAGGTGGGATCAGCGCCCTTACAAAAAGAGGAAGAGACATCTTGATCTCCCTCCGCACACATGCACCAAGGAAAGATCGTGTGAGGATAGAACCAGGGCCCAGCCTTGCTGGCACCCTGACCTCACACTTCCCGCCGCCAGAACTGGAGGAGACAACTGTTTGTTGTTTAAGTGGCCCAGTCAATGGTAGTCTGTTACAGCAGCCTGAACTAAGATGCTTTACTGGGATTATTAAGGGAATAACATGAGGGCTGACAGTTAAGGCTCCACAATGAATATGTATGCTTTAAAATGCAAATCAATTAAAACTGAACCTGCATATAGTAACAGACCAGTGCTTCCCAATCCATTTCACAGCCTAGCACATACAGACATACAGTATTGATGACGCTCCGGAGTAAATGAGTGAGGTTGTTCATGGAGGCTGGGACTAGCCCGAGGGTGAGGACCAACTGCAAGCGCAGCACACGGCTGTGCCAGCACAGGTGGAGACAGCTCTGCGTAGCCTGTGAAAGGAAAACTTCCTAAAAGCACTAGACTTTCAAAGTAAAATAAAAATCAGATCCTCAAAATTAAGACCTTAAAGTGACAAAAGATGGCTCTTTATACTGTCCTGAACTTTGAAAAGCAACTCTAAGGAAATCTCTAAGAAAACATAACGGTTCCTAAATACGATCTCCGACGAAGTCATCTCACCCAGGAACGCGGGCCCCCTCCAGCTGACTGTCTGCCTTGCTGTCCTGCGTGTCCAGAGGCTGGCCGGTGAAGATGGAGTACTCTGCTCCCGGTATCAGCCACTTCCGCCGACTGACATCTGAGGTTGCCAGAGTGCTGTTAGGACGAGAGGAGTTCTGAGGCACTGCGAGGTTTGTGCTTCGATTTACACTGAGCACATACAGGAAACAATGTGCTCTGAAATATTATTTACACAGCAATTTAAAAACCACATAGAATAATCTATTCTAGCTACATGGACTCTACTTTATGGTTCTTGGTTTCTGTTAGTTATGAATATTCCTGAATCTCAGTCAAGATTCAGGTGCTGTCATATCCACACAGCTCTGAGCACCCCCCAAGTCGCCCCACCGCACTTCACACCCTTCAGACCCCTGTCGTAGCTCAGGGCGCGGGGGGGAAGCAAGAGCCCCTCCCAGACCAGCATGGGCATCGCCAGAGAAATCGACACACCAAGGAGCCTCCTGCCCACGTGCCCAAGC